GCCTCAACTCTACTTCTAGCTTTTCAGTGCTTAATTGGAGATAAGAGTTTCAGGACTTTCTTACCAGGGCTGGCTTTGAACTGTAATCTTCAGATCTCAGCCTCTTGAGTAGCTGGGATTACAGGTGTGAGCCACTGGCATTGGACTTGTTCAAATATTTCAAAAGATTAAAAAAAAATAAAGTTTAGCTGGATGCCAGTGGCTCACGCCTGTAATCTTAACCACTCAGGAGGCTGAGATCTGAGGATCACCGTTCAAAGCCAGCCCGGGTAGGAAAGTCTGTGAGACTCATCTCCAATAAAGCACTAGAAAACCGCAAGTGGCGCTGTGGCTCAAGTGGTAGAGCGCTTGCCTTGAGCTGAAGAGCTCAGGGACAGTGCCCAGGCCCAGAGTTCAAGCCCCATGATCGACAAAAATAAATACGGCTCATGCCGCCAGCCCAGCAGAAAAGTCCCATGACACTCATCTCCAATAAACTACCCAAAATATCTGGAAGTAGAGCTGTGTCTCAAAGTGGTACATAGAGGGCTAGCCTTGAGCACAAACAGCTTAGGGCCAGTACCCAGGCCCTGAGTTCAATCTCCAGATTGAAAAAAAAAAGTTTAGTCTGGTACCAGTGGCTCAGGCCTGTAATCCTAGCTATTCAGGAAGCTAAGATAGAAGCCAGCCCAGGCAGAAAAGTCCTTGAGCCTCTTATCGCCAATAAATGACTTAGAAAAAGCTGGAAGTGGCGCTGTAGCTCAATTGGTACAGGGCTAGTTTTGAGCAAAAAGTCTCAGGGACAGTGCCCAAACCCTGAGTTCAAGCCCCAGAACCGAAGGGGGGAAGAAGAGGGGCTGCCAGGGCTGCCTAGCTATTCAGTAGGCTGAGATCTGAGGATTAAAGTTTAAAGCCAGTCAGGGAAGAGAAATCCTTGAGACTCATTTCCAATTAACTAACAGAAAAGCAGAGGCTGGAGGTATGGCTCAAGTGGTTAGAATATCCAGATATGAACAAAAAAAAGCCAAGTGAAGGCTTGGAGTTGGAGTCCCAGTATCAGCTAAAAATCACAAATACTTTTTTTTGTCATGGGGCTTGAACTCAGGGCTTGGGCACTGTTCCTGAGCTTTTTCACTCAAGGCTAGCATTCTACCACTTCCTTCTACAGTACCACTTTGAGCTACAGCGCCCCTTCCAGTTTTCTGGTGGTTAATTGGAGATAATAGTCTCACAAACTTTCCTGCACAGGCTGGCTTTGACCATGTTCCTCAGATCTCAGCCGCCTGAGTAGCTAGGATTAAAGGCATCAGCCACCAGCTCCAGCTCACAAATATTTTTCTAATGTTACCTACATTAAATCAGAAAAATAAAAGATCACACTCTACACTACAAAATCGCCACCCCATCCCTGTTAAGCACTTACATAGTCCTTTCAGGTAGCACAGCCAAGAAGGAGACAATTAACCAGGCTTCAGCTCCAGCGACCCTTGAGTAGCAGCTTCGGGCTATGTCAGAATCCCTACATTATCTACCTCATTGCATCTCATCATAATTATTACATCATCTCACCTGGTCACTAAGTGACCAGGTGAGATGATGGAGGGTGAACCCAGTCCAGTAAGGTACTTTTAGAGGTTATATTCAGAAGATTTTATTGTGAGATATCATGTTTTTGCAGTAATTTTTTTATTATCTTTAAGTAGTTGTACAAAGAAGTTCCCATTCTACAAAACAGTATATGAATACAAAGTGTCTGACAAACATTGCCACCCATCTCTCTTAACCCATCCATGAGATATCATTATAATTATTCTATTTTACTGTTGTTAATTATTGCTAAATGCTATTGAGCTTAATTTATAAATCAGACTTCATCACAGCTACATAGGTATAGGGAAAAGCCCAATACACATTGAATTATATTCACACTACTGTGTGAAATCCAGTGCTAAAACCAATCACTAAGACCTTAACAGAAAAAAATAATATATATCATCTACAGAATAAACATTTATTTTTAAATTCAGTCACTTTGCCAGGCACTTTGTCTAATCAACTTATCTAAAATAGTACCCCACCATTGATCACTTGTTTCCTGAGTCAGCCTTATTTTTGTTTTTACTCTTTCCCAAACTAATGTTACATACGTATATTTGTTCCATGCTTCCCCACTAATATACAAGTTTTTCAAGGCCCGGCATTCTGTCCATCTCTCATACTATAGTGTCCAGCCCATAATAGACACTGAGTTAAATGTTAAGTAAATTGAGAAGTAATGTTAGAACACTTCAAATATGACTAAAATTGTCTTTAAAACTATTTTGGGAGTAAAACATGGTATATAGCGTGACACATGAAATGATCTATATGAGTAGTTGATAAACTGTGAACAATCTCAATAGAAACAAAGCAGGCACCAGTGGCTCATGGCCTGTAATCCTAGCTGCTTGGGAGTCCAAGATTGGGAGGATCATAGATTCAGATCAACTCAGATAGAAAAGTTCATGACATTCCTTCTCAATCCATTGCTGGGCAGAGTGGTATGCAGTGGGCATCCTAAGTGATGCGGAAAGTTGAGCTTTGTTCTTCTAAGCCAGCTCAGGCAAAAAAAAGTCTGAAAGCCTCTATCTCCACTCAGGGAAGCTGGATGCATATGGCCCAGGCCTGTCATCCCAGCAATGATGAGAAGCCTAAAATATGTTGATCACAGTCTTAGTATGTACCTGTAGAGGAAGCAAAACTCTATCTTAAAAATAATCAATGAGTCATTCACCAGTGGCTCTTGCCTGTAATCCTAGCTACTTGGGAGGCTGAGATCTGAGGATCTTAGTTCAAAGCCAGTCAGAGCAGGAAAGTCTGTGAGACTCTTTTCTCCAGTTAATTACAAAAAAAAAAAAAAAAAACAAGCAAGAAGTGAAGTGGTAGAGAGGTAGCCTTGAGTAAAAGGGACAGCACCTATGCTCTGAGCAGCTCTGGGATTAGCACAAAAAATAATAATCAGTGAAAAGCAGGATAGAAGCCATGGCTCAGTGGTAGATCAGCTGTCTAACATGTGTAAGGCCTTGAGTTTAAACTCCAACACCACCAAAAATAAAAATAAAACAGTCTAAAAATCAGATAACCAGTCCAATGGTATAAATAAATATAATTTAATGCAATGTAGCACTAGGAGAAAATTTAAAGGTTATTTTGTATTCAATAAAGTACCTACCCTCATAAATCATATCAATAACTCACATGACTCGGTGATCTGGATTATCAAATGGTTCTGATGAGTGTTTGCTCAGGACCTTGGTTAGGGATTGTGTACACACACACACACACACATATACACAGCAGAGTTGGGAGTTTCATACCAATGACTTTTAGTATATATAGTCTACAGTTTCAGAAAGCAATGAAGAGCTATTTAAGAGGCTGAGATCTGAGGATTGTGGTTTGAAGCCATCCGGAGCAGGAAAATCCATGAGACTCTTATCTCCAATTAACCACCCAAAACTGGAAATAGAGCTGTGGCTCAAGTGATAGATTGTTACCCTTGAGCGAAAAAGCTCAGAGATAGTGCCCAGGCCCAGAGTTCAAGCCCCAGAACTGGTTAATCAAAGAAAGGAGCTGGGAAGGTGGCTCAGTGGTAGAGTGCCTGCTTTGCATGCATGAGGCCCTGGTTCGATACCTTAGCACCACATAAGCAGGAAAGGATGGAAGTGGCGCTGTGACTCAAGGGAGGGAGGGAGGGAGGGAGGGAAGGAAGGAAGGAAGGAAGGAAGGAAGGAAGGAAGGAAGGAAGGAAGGAAGGAAGGAAGGAAGGAAGGAAAAAGCAATGAAACCGCAAGTCCTCAAGTCCTCATAAGCCATGGGCATTTTAAATAGCCTAGGGTGTGCTTCAGTTTAACTCAGAGTTCAGGCATTCAGCAAGATCCTAGTTGAATACTAAATGCCCTCATGATAACATTTTCAAGAGAGGAGACCCCCAATTACTGAATGTGATCAAAAAACACTCTCTCTTTCTTTTATAAACTTTCTATGGTTAACAAAGACTCAAATGGCTCCTCATGGTGTTTCCAATTAATCTTCTCTGTTTTCCATCTTCATCATTTATGTGTGTCATGTTGATAAGTTTCATGTTCATTTTCTCTTGCTAACGTTTGCTAGCATTTTTGAAACTGGACTAGTCTCATCAGTTTATAATGGAAACAGTGATATGCTGCCACACAGGCAGTGAGGATGCTCTGCCCTTTACTATTTGCAACAGGTGGAGTTGCACTTCCTTTCAAGAACTTTAGAATATCCCAAGATCTGTGAGCATTGTCCTCACTAACATTTGTGAAAATTAAAGAGCTTGTGTTTTACTTGTTAGGTTCATTCACAAAAGACATGCCATCTCACGTGACCCAGGCAAGTTCGCATGTTTTTGCCACCAAGTAAGATAACACATATAGTACTTCATATGCAGCCTTGAACACACCTTTCTTCTCTTTCTCTCTTTTCTTACCAGTGCTGGGGATTGAACACAGTATCTCCCACAGGCTAGGCAGGCTCTCTACCACTTGAGCTATACCCCCAGCCCTTTAGTTTTTATTTTGTTTTTGAGACAAAGTCTTCCTACAACCTTGCCCAGGCTAGACTCAAACTAACAATCCTCCTGCCTCAGTCTCCTAAAGAGCTGGGATTATAGATGTACACTACTCCACCCACTTTTGATACCACCTTGATGGCTAACATCAAGGTGAATTTATTTCCCAACTATTTAAAGGTCTTGATGTTGAAAATACACTTGCACCATCAGACAGTTCCTGTGAGTTCAGATCATCAGGGGTCCCTGGTGTTGCTCAATCCTAGAACGGCTTACTTGCAAAAAGAGAACTTGATATCAGAAGTTGATGTGCTATAGAATTCAACCTTGAGTGAGCTAATCTCTTCCAGAATCTCTTATCAGGATGTCAGTAACTGAAAGCCCAAATAACGGTAATATTTCCAATGTATTTAGCTTTTGATGTATTAAAAAGACAGGGACATCAAAATCATAGCAGAGATTTATTCTAGGAATAAAAACAAAGAGCTGTAATAGGAGAGAAGTAAATCAATGACACACTCTGGAATACTTCATATTCATTAAAATCTTAGGCACTGGACTTAATAATCAGAAATGTTGTCTCTTAGATACTAGAGGAACCTAATTCACTACTTTATAGTGTTAAGAAGAATTTTTTTAAAAAAAGAAGAATTGTTACTTAGACAGTTAATAATTAAAAGGTTTCTGGCTGCTCCCTTGGTTAATGAGAATACTAAGCTAATTAGCAGTTTGCCTATCCCATATGTTTCAGTTTGCTGGCTTGCTACTCTTAATTGGCTGAACTCATTAGAAGATATTGGGAGTCTAGCTGTTGAATGTCTATACTAAATATACTATGTGCAGAAAACAGTCTACTTATTTCCAGTATCTTCCTGCAGACAGTTCCTCCTACTGGTACAGGAGGAATCTTTCCAGAGGTTCAGGCAGATGCAGTTGGTTGATGGTTTGACGGTAGGATCGTCCCAAGCACTTCCGGATGCGCAGGCGGCAGAGCTGAGAAAGAGTAGGTGGGCCTGAGAAAGGAAATCAGAATGGTGTGAATCTCCCAGAAGAGGCTGAAGCTTCGTAAACACAGAAGAGAAGCTGGATCTGTATAAGAGTCCCACACAGAGGGACTGATGGCCCCTTGGTAGAAGGATGTTCTTCAAGTTGATCCCCCTCTGGAGATTTGTATTACTGACACTGAAAAATGTGGCAATCCAGAAGAAAGTTAGGAAAGAAGGGGCAGGGCCTAGAGAGGATGCACCTCATTCATTCATCATTGTCTGTGCTAATGAGAGGGAATGTTCTAGATGAGGAGAAAATGCAAGTGAAAACACTACCCAAGCAAGACCTCAAAATAGTTTCACAGCTGAGGGATAAGCAGGGAGTAACTTGAATTGTGTGGTCACGGTGTTAGGAAACATTTAGCTAAGGCTAAATAGCTCTTAAAGTTCTCCTGGTCCTCCCAGTGTTAGTCCTGCCCATGAGGTGGTACTGCCTGCATTCTGCTTCACATCTGGAGGGACCTCCATTATTGGAAACATTCCAGTTTCATAGAGATACATAGAAAGGATTCAAATCACTTAGATTCCATATTCTCTGAACAAGTCTTTTGGAGTTTCATTATATCTGTGACGCAGAGTAGCTTTGACTCCTTAAGGATTCAAAAAAATGGTTGAGGAATTGGAGGTGTGGCTCAATTGGTAGAGCCCCAACTAATAAGCAAAAACATCAGGTACTGAGTTCAAGTCCCGAGCTTGAACAACAACAAAAATAAAGATAGTTCAGAGTCCAAAATATACTTGAACAGGATTATGTCTAGAATACCAGTTACACAGGGACATTCATATTATTCCCTTATTTCCTAAACTGACTCTAAGCAAAAATTTTCTCCAGCGGATCTAATTACTGGCCAAACTTTTGAAGAAAATTGTACTACAGCATTATTTTATACCCCACAAAAATGGAGGATTGTATATGCAAATATCCAAGTGACATTTAAAGTTGCCATTAACGACAAACATCCAAATAATAATTGATAGCTACCTGGAGTACCAATCAATTTCCTTTCGTTAAAATCTTGGGAATTGAGGATGGAAATTATCCTTACCTGTTGCCCCTTAGGTCTGGGATCAGTCCTTTAAATTATAAAAAAAAAAAAGAATTAAACTAAATAACTAAGGTTCTCCACAAAATAGTAATGCAGATAAATTACCCAATTTGCCTAGAGAAGTTCAGACACCATGGTGAACTCTGATGCAGCTGTTATTTATCCTGCAAGAGTATGAGCTTCTATTAACAAAGACAGAAAACAGAGAATTTTATTTCTTTTTTTTTTTGGGGGGGGGGGGGTCCAGTCGTGGGGCCTGAACTCTGGGCCTGGGCGCTGTCCCTCAGCTCTTCAGCTCAAGGCTAGCACTCTACCACTTGAGCCACAGTGCCACTTCTGGCTTTTTTCTTTTTGCTTATGTGGTGCTGAGGAATCAAACCCAGGGCCTCATGCATGCAAGGCAATTGCTGTACCACTGAGCCACCTTCCTAGCCCAGAGAATTTTATTTCTAAGGGATGTAAATCCTAGACCTAAGGCAGAAAATGTGCAAACTGCCATAGACTACTTTTATTTGCTTATTAACTGTTGCATGGATCCTTTACAAACTAGATCTGGTTAAGAAACATCATAATTCTTCCAGTAGAAATTCCACAGAAACATTAATGATCTAGACCACTGGAAGTAATGAAGTATAATGGAACTCAAAATATGTCTCTTGGCTAATAACAGCAACATTGCTTGGGAGCTTGCTAGGGTCTCATCCCAACATCCTTAATCAATATCTGAAATTTAACATGATACTCTGATGATTTATATGCACATTGAAGCTCAAGAAGACTATTCCTAAAACAATTAAGCAAAGAAAACCACTTGGAAGGCACTTAAGACAGTTGGTGAAACCAGTCCATGATATGAGATAGCTCCCTACTGGAAATTGCTTCTGAAGAGTTAGAATACAAGTGCAAGTTTTGAGACTCAGATGGTTTAGTTAGCACCTCAGTCATACTTTTTAGAAGCTATGCCATCCTCTGCAAGCCAATCTCTCTATGCTGTTCCTCATTTGTTTGTGGTATAGCACCAGCTACTATAAGATTCTAATGGCTTTTTGTTTTTGTTTTTGTTGGTCATGGGGCTTGAACTCTGGGCCTGGTGCTGTCCCTGAGATGTTCAGTTCAAGGCTAGTACTCTACCGCTTGAGCCACAGCGTCACTTCTGGTTTTCTGGTTTTCTTGCCCAGTCTGGCTTCGATCCATAGTCCTCAGATCTCAGCCTATTGAGTAGCTAGGATTATAGGTGTGAGCCACTGGCGCCCAGCTACATTCTAATAGCTTTTAAGTTTTAAGAATGCAGTGAGACTAGACTATGTAAAGATAAGTCATTTTAAAAATTTTTGAATATTTTCCTCAGTACCCAAATGATCAACAAAGGCTCAGAAAATATATTTATTTCTATATGGACATCTAAATGATTCTCTATTGAATTCAGGACCTGAAGCATTTCAGAAACTCACCTTTCCTGGTATCTCTAGTTGCTCTTAACACCCATCATGAAAGTGGGAATGAAGAAATGAGAATGAAGAACTAGTTATTCCCTGATCTGGAGAAGAGGTATATAGCTTTACCATTTAGTCAAGTTTCTGAAATACAGCCTCTGTCCTCCACCTATAACTCAAGTAGAGTCTCATGTCACTTAATAACTGGATCCGTTCTGAGAAATGTGTCATCAGGCGATTTTATTACTATACAAACAGCACAGAGTATCCTTACATAAGTGAAGATGGCTATGATGTCTCTAGATTACATCATCTCATGACACATGGTATATATAGGCAGCCATCACTGATGGGCCTTAAGCAGAACATGCTTGTATGTCTAATGTGCCCATACATTGTCTCCTAGTGTTTCAAAGAAGAGTTTTAGTTTGCTTGGTCATGTGCTTACACGAGAATAGATATAATTGTTTGACTATTTCATAATGAATGCAAGATAATCTAATTATATTTTATGGAAAATATAAAGTACTAATTTGGTTCTGTGTGTGTGTGTGTGTGTGTGTGTGTGTATTCTTTGGTTATTAGAGAATAGCTACAGTATGTTACAAATCCCAGAACATGTGGCAATGAGGTCTTGTGACCTCTTACAATACCACTGCAGAAAAAAAAAAGAAGGAAAATATTGTAGAGATGAAACAGAAAGGAGAGTGAGGTATGAGCTCAGAAAGGAGAATTGAATCCCCAGCCCTTCCTTACCTTCACAGAGAATAAGCGCCTGTGCCACATTGCTTTTGGGAGCTGCCAGATCAAGTGGAATTTTGCCCTGTGCATTTCTGAGCCTCAGGTTAGCCCCATAGTCAACCAGTGTGTAGATGATCTCCAAGTTGGACTGCTTGGCTGCAGCATGCAGTGGGGTGTTCAGCCATTGGCCCTGATCAGGATTGGCTCCTTAAGAAACAGATGGCCACCATTGAACACAGTACAAATGTACAGCATAATAAGCCTATGACACATTGGACATACCATTGAGAAAAGTATTCTGTATACCAAAGTAGCTTAGTAAGAAGTGAGGTTAGACATTTATAGTCTTTTTAAATCAGATAGTTGTTTTCCCATACAAAATGTGTGACATACAAAAACAGTATGTGGAACTCCTGTTACAGAGTTATTTTGATTTGTCTTTTAGAAAAAGATACATGTATATATTATATTATTTGAAGCTCAAAAAAAGATGTCTGAACTCATCATTAGAAAATTGCAAATGAAGCCCAGTGCTGGTGGCTCATGCCTGTAATCCTAGCTACTTAGGAGGCTGAGATTTGAGGATCGCGGTTCTAAGCCAGCCCAGGCAGGAAAGTCCGTCAAACTCTTATCTCCAATAAATGACAGAAAACCGGAAGTGGTACTGCAGCTCAAGTGGTAAGACTGAAGCCTTGAGCTGAAGAGCTGAGGGATAGCGCTCAGGCCCAGAGTTCAAGCCCCACAACCAACAAAAAAAGAAAGTTGCAAATGATGGGAACTTAAAAACTTAAATATTCTGAGCCAGGTGCCAGTTACTCATTATTATAATCCTAGCTAGCAAGGAGGCTGAGATCTGAGGATCCCAGTTCAAAGCCAGCCTGAGCAGGAAAGCCTGTGAGATTCTTATCTCTAATTAATTACCAAAATTCAGGAATAGAGCTGTAGCTCAAATAGTAGAGCCCTACCACTGAATTGATGAAAAGAGCTCAGGGATAGCACCTAGGCCTTGAGTTCAAGCCCCCAGATCTCATACACACACACACACACACCATTAAAAATACTAAAAATAGCCAGGCACCCGTGGTTCACATCTGTAATCCTAGCTACTCAGGAGGCTGAGATCTAAAGATCATGGTTCAAAGCCAGCCCTGGCAGGAAAGTCCATGAGACTCTTATCTCCAATAAACTACTCAAAAAAGCTAGCAGTGGTGCTGTGACTCAAGTGGTAGAGTGCTTGCATTGAGCAAAAGAATCTCAGAGACAGTGCCTAGGTCCAGAGTTCAAGCCCCAGGGCTGGCAAAAAAAAAGCAAAACACCTAAATATTCTAAACTAAAAATAATTACTATAGCTTCCACTTTTACAGCTACATGTGTTAAATCTTTAACCAAGTGATAGTTTTAAGGTATTTTATTTTCCCCTGAAATATTTTCTACATATATCATTTAAAGTTTTAAAAACTGACTAAATAATTGATCAAGACTGTACAACAGTGTATAACCAATATGTGGTGTTTTTAATGATCCACCACCATCTTCCTGGTAACCTCATCCAGATTTTTCTCTAGGGAACCACCTTCTTGAGATTCTCAGTTCATATGTTCTAGGGAAGTCTAGAAAGTGCCGAATAATCTGAAATGCTAGCTTGAGCCAATCAATATATTGTATTCCCTTAGCCAACACAACTGGTCGGAGATGGATATGTGACTCAAAAAGAGAATGCTCTTTCTTGCTGCATTTGGATGAGGGAGGCGGCAACTCAGGTGTTGATGGCAGCCATTCTGAGACCAGCAGGGAAAAAATATAGGTAAGTGGAACCACCGTTAAACATAGCAGAACTGAGAAATACAGAGACTTCCTTCTCCTGAAAATCATCTGTTTTTAGCATTCAGATATTAAATGTGATCTGAATTTGTTTTAGCCTCGTAAGAGTTTCATTTTTGAAGCCATAAAAAGAGCAAGTTCAGCTGTTCTTCTTATAAAACCCAAAGACTTCAGGTAATTACCTAATTCCAGAAGCTTCTTCAGACAATCTTCCTTCTCGTAGGTACAGGCCACATACAGGGGAGTCCCAATATGAGGCAACTCTTGGTCAATATTGACATTATTTGCCAGCAGAATCTCCATGCACTCTATGTGACCTGGTGAAACATGAAATAACTTCACTCAAATAAGGAACACACTGAATTATTCACGGAATTACAGGACTGTTTCTTTGGACTGGGTTTTAGACATAACTTAGGTCCATTTTCTTTTGGAAATCATAGATTAAAAACCCTCAAAACAGACCCACTACAAATAGAAATGTAACCATAGGCCTCTGAGCCCAGTTATTGGTTGAGATCGAGTCACACAAACTTTTAAGCCTTAGCTGACATCAAACCATGAACAATCCCCTGATCTCCACCTCCCAGGTGGCCAGGGTTACAAATGCCTTCAAATTAAACTCTTTCTTCACTTCCAGAGGAATTGATAATATAGAAGGAGTCTTGAGTCAACTTCAAGATTTCCAATACTTTTTCATGTTGCAGTTTTTATCAAGAATTATACCTTCAAGTCATTAGCTCATTTATAGCATATGACTCATGGGCAGTTACTCGTCCATTAGCCATGTCATCTTTGACTTTCAGACTCTTCCAGAATGTATTGCTTTTTTGGTGGTTGATGTCTTATGGGCTTTGAGGATGAACCATTTCACTTCTAAAGCACAGACACAAGCCCAGCACAGTTCACAAGGACACAATGACTGCCGTGGCTTTACCAGCTGACCTCACAAAACCAGCAAAGAAACTTCAGAGAAAGGCATGCTGAAAGACTGTCCCCCCAGAATGGGATAGCGGAGATATAAAGGGCTTCCCAGGTATTAAAAATGACTGTTTTATGTCCCTTTGAGATTTCTGGAAGATTTAAAGATGCTACTGTGGGATGTCTAAGCCACCTGTATTTTGATGGTGTGAACATCTGAGTGACTCTTGTTTAACCTACATTAGAATGTTCATTCATGGATATTAGGGTGAGCCCACCAATATGTTGTATGCATTGTAGTAGCTCCTTTACCTCTCTTCACTGCCTCATGGATGGGTGAGCACAGATGCATGTCAAGCTGGGCCCTGGCTCCATGCTCCAGCAACATGGAAACACAGGCAGCACTCCCACTGCAGCAGGCATTGAAGAGTGGTGTAGCTCCATGAATTGTCACTCCATTGACCTAATGATAGGCAGAGAAACCAAGAGGATTTATTGCATTGTTCTCACTAACACCCCCCCCCCATCCACCTGTGTATTCCTATGTATATTCCTGGGGAAATTCCCCATGATAATGAAGGAAGGAACCCATATAATTCAAATAATCTCAGCCAGCCACCAGTGGCTCACACTTCTAATCCTACTGACTCATGAGACTGAGATGTGAGGATTTCAGTTTGAAAGCAGCCCATATAGGAAAGTCCATGAAATTCTTTATCTCCATTTAACCACCAAAAAGCTACAAGTAGAGCTGTGGCTTACATGGTACAGCACTAGCCTGGAGCAAAAAGACTCACAGACCAAAGACCTGTGTTCAAGCCTCAGACCAGGACAATAAAATAAAATATCCTCATGAAGTTATTACGGATCAAGGGAGTTACTATATGTTAAATGCTTATTAGACTATTACATGGTACCTAGTAAGCAATGAATAAACATTTGTAACAATTATTTCCATTTTCCATGAATTTGGAGCTCATCCTCCCACTTCCAATTGTGAACAAGTATGGCAAGAGCCAAAAGTATTAGAGAACTCAGCTAACATTTTTTTTTGTTGGTGGGTCTTGAACTCTGGGCCTGGGCGCTGTCTGTCAGCTCTCAGCTCAAGGCTAACTCTCTACCATTTGAGCCACAGCGTGACTTCTGGTTTTCTGAGTGGTTTATTGGAGATAAGAGTCTCATGGACTTTCCTGCCTAGGCTGGCTTTAAACTGTGATCCTCAGATCTCGGCCTCCTGAGCAGCTAGAAATACAGGCATGTGCTACCAGTGCCCGGCTCAGGTAGCTCTTGATCCCAACTTCTGGGCTTGAAATAAATCTCCCTATAAGCCTATGGTCTTTGTTGCTACAATTTTCTGTTATGGTTTAATGGACAGAAATTAAATGTGTCTCTCCCAAGCTGTGACTCCCAAAGAGATCATAGCAAAGCTAAAGACTCATAGAAAATAGCACCAACACGATATCTCCAACCATCCTGGGAGGCAAATGAGGACCAGCAGGGCTGAAGATAATCAGTGAGTATCTGGAATAGACTGGAAAGAATATTTGGGATCCAGACAGTAAGGGCTTGATAGCAAGCCATTTTACTCAATAACTACAGATAGCTGCTCATAATATCAGAATTCTAAATAATAATAATAATTATTATTATTTTTATAATAATTATAAATTATTACTATAAAACTGCATATATAGTCTTCATTATATAGAAAACTTAAAAATTACCTTTGCTAACATGGCAGAGGTAGACAAGGATGGTCAAATGTGTGTTAAGTTCCTCTGTTAGGGATTTCAAATTTATTTTCAATTCTAACTGGTTTGATGTTTATTTTCTAAGTATCCCCCCGACATACACACTCCACCAAGTCTGAGAAATCTTCATGTTTTGATTGCCTGTCATCTTTCTCCTAGTTCACATCAGCAAACAATGTTGTAGAAAGAAAGAGGAGTGAAACAAATTGCTTGCTCTTGAGCAGGTGGAATTGCATTTTAGAAAGGGTGAACACCAAAGGTGCTGCTTTTGCTATAATAATAAGTGATATAGACCACTATGGGAGAACAAAGGAGACATTAGACTTGAGAAATAGGAAGTACAATTAACAAGATTTTTGTGATTAATTAGATGGAGCAATAGCAAAGATAAAGATGACTTTTGTGTTCAGTCTCTGAAACTGGAAATCCAATGTAAGGAGAAAGTCCCAGAGGGTAGAACATGATAATCACAGCTTCAGATAAGTTGAGCTTGACTTATCAGTGAGACAGTCTATTATTGGGGACTTTCTGCTGACTGACTCACTATTTCCTCTTCCTGTTCATATTGCTGATTTAAAGGTTAAAGGGCATAATATAGTATTTATTGGCTGATCCTTTATAAAACTGCCAAAGACTACAGGCAACTGTTGAATTCTTCTTTTTGATAGCCACTAAAACTCCTTTGTCAGAAGAGATAAATGTTTCACATTTTCTGCCAATGCTCCGGTGGTGACTCTGATCAGATGGTTTAAGAGGAAAAGGCTCCACCCAGCCTCATCTTCCTCACCACCTGTCATACTCCCAAGTTTAATTTGGGTCACATGAGGTAACCTAGAGCAATACCACCTAACAGAATTACATGAATCATTAGGAAGGCTTTCATCAGTTCTACATATAGAAATTCAACTGCCAGAGCTGGGCGCTGGTGGCTCATGCCTATAATCCTAGCTTCTCAGAAGGCTGAGATCTAAGAATCATGGTTCAAAGTCAGCGGGGGCATGAAAGTCTATGAGACCCTTATCTCCAATTAACCACGTAAAAATTACAATTACAAGTGGAGCTGTGGCTCAAAGCAGTAGAGCACGAGGCTTTAACAGAAAAGCAGTGCCCAGGTCCTGAGTTCAAGGCCCACAGCCAACAAAAAAAAAAAGTTGAGAGAAACTCAACTTCCATATAAAATGTAGAAATCTTATCATTAAACAATTTAAGACCTTGTAGCTCATATAATAAAGAATATAAAGACTTGATTAAACAAGGAGAGTGGCAGCAATGTATCTGGCAAGTAAATATGGGTGTCTCTGAGAAATTTCACACGTTTGATTTTTGTAAATTGAAAAAATTAAGATGTAAGCTACAAATAAGGTAAAGTTAAATTTGTGAGGAATGGTCATATATTTATGTGTCAGTATTGGGGCTCGAACTCAGGGCCTGGGCGCTGTCCCTTAGCTCTTTCTCTCAAAACTGGCACTTTACCACTTGAGCCACACCTCCACTTCTGGCTTTCTTGTGGTTAATTGGAGATAGGAGTCTCATGGACTTTGCTGCCCAGGCTGGCTTCAAGCCATTATCCTCAGATCGCAGCTTCCTGAACAGCTAGGATTTCAGGTCTAAGTCACCAGCACCCAGCTAATTTGTGGCGGGGTTAAAAATGTATTCTTAATTCAGAGCTCATTTAAAGGGATGATTTTGAACGGGTAAAATAATTATTGTGTTAAGGTGATATTTATTATTCTGTTAGATTTTTTTTAAGTCTTCATCATAGTTTGGAAAGATTCCTATGAATGGCCACATTGGAATGTTCACACCTTTAACAGGCTGTAAAGAGAAGACTAATCTGAATGATAGAATATGTACGTAGATGGGACCAGACTTGTCCACACCACAGTGAAGAAGCAGTTGGGGCAGGAAATGTCTTGGGTGTTTACAGATGCACTTGGGCAGACACACCCAAGTGCACAGAGCCAGTACTCACCTGTGCGCCACTTTCCAGCAAGGCTCTCGCACAGGCCACATGCCCTCCCAGGCAAGCCTCGTGGAGGGAAGAGACATGGTTAAGTGTCAGAAGGTTCACATTGACACCCTATAATTTGGAGAGAAGAGAGTTAAAGGTTGCATTAATGATGGCAATGAGAGCAATGCAGTTCAACAGGTTTCTGAAGTTTTCACAATCTGTGGGGTGCAGTACCAACACGAGATAGGGAGGAACAGAAGTCCTGGCCTGGAGAGTACACATAGCATGACAGCCTCAAAGTCATTTAGCCAACATTTTTTTGTTCAGTATTCTGAGCCAGACAATGTACGAGAATCTAGGTTTACAAAACCTTTGACATGAGTCTCTCTCCTCCAAAAGGTAGAAATGAAAAGCAATGGAGGAAGTATAATACTTTCAATTGCACTTGGAAGCATGGGATATCCTTGAAACTGGCTTAGGCAGGAAGAAAAAAAAACACAAATGTGGTGGTATTTAAGTGTGACTGGAAGCACAGAAACTTCCAAACTGGGAAGACAAGAAAGTAGCATGCCTTTGGGAACAAATGGAATACGCAAATGCAAGAAGCTGGCATGAACACCAATTATTAGTTATTTTAGGATGAGAAAGAGCCCATGGTATGGGGAAATAGGGGATAGAGGAGATTGAGGGTATTGAGAAAGCTAGAGCCAGATCATGAAAGGCTTTGATTTCTAAACAGGGAGTGTGTGTCTTCTAGGAAATGAGGTACCTATAAATCTGTTGTACTGTAGAAGATGAAGCTAATAGAGTCGCCATATTAGAAGAGTCACACTGGAAACAGCACATGGAGGACTGATGGAACAAACAGGAATACGAAACCGAAGTACAGAGAACGGTGAAGGCCTTGCTATATGGTCTGGGCCTGCTGTGGGTAAAAAGACCAGTGGTTCTGAAGAGAAGGTGATGGAGAGCAAAGAGGTTCAAAAGACAGAACGGCATCTGGAACAAAAGGATGATTCCTGCACTTGAGTGTAGAAAGTTCAGAGCTGGACGCTGATGGCTCCCACCTATATTCCTAGCTACTCAGGAGACTGCAATCTGAGGATTGTAGTTGGAAGCTGGGCTGGGATATAAAGTCCAGGAGAATCTTGGCTCCAATGAACCAGCAAAAAGTCAAAAGTGAAGGTGTGGCTCAAGTGGTAGAATACAAGCCTTGAGCAAAGGACCCAAGTGAGAATATGAGGCCCTGAGTTTTACACACACACACACACACACACACACACACACACACACACACACACATGCCACAAAGAGTGCTCCTAGAAGTCACATGCTATGTAACAGCAGCATTGCTTCATATACCTTCACTTAACGGAGAAGTCTTCACTAATATAGGAAAGTGTCTGAGGCTGGATGGAGTGTCCTAGCCCTTACTCCCTTCCTCATGTCATCACTATTCTATTCCCATATTATACTTTCCTCCCCCTGGAGCTCATGGGACAGATGACAAGATCACCTTATCAGCTGGACATCTCTATCTTCTTACCCTGCTTTTACCAACTTGGCTCTCATGATTTCCCCCATGATTACTACTTTTTATCCTGAGAAGGAATTAGATCTCTGGTCTGTTATCCATGACAAATCCTGCTCTTGAAATCCTGCCTTGTAATCGATTGGCTGAAATCTTTCAAAATTGAGGTTTTTCTCTCTATTCTGTTCCTTACTTCATTTCCTGGGTCCTTTGCATTTTCATGCCCTGAATATGATATATCCCTCTACAGCTATGCTACATGTTTCAAATTGGGCTCTTTTCCACTTCCTTTTTCATACTGGATTTCTTTTTAAGAAATGAAGACTATTTTGCCAACCATTGATTCCCATACCCTCGACCCAAACCTTACAAGCAAAGACTACGCCTGTCATAAGACTGTACAATGTATTACTCAAAGCCTAAACTTTCTTCTTTCTGTAAGTAATGGCCAATTACTTGATAAGCCTAAAACATTGCAAAAGTCCATTTTATGAGTTTACTAAACACCTTTTGCAAGTACTGGCTACACAAAAATTGTCTGCTTTAGGGCTCGGAAGGTGGCTCAGTGGTAGAGCGCTTGCCTTGCATGCATGAAGCCCTGGGTTTGATTCCTCAGCACCACATAAGCAGAAAAAAAAAGCCGGAAGTGGAGCTGTGGCTCAAGTGGTAGAGTGCTAGCCTTGAGTTGAAGAGCTGAGGGACAGCACTCAGGCCCAGAGTTCAGGCCCCATGACCGGACCCCCCACCCCCCAAAAAAATTGTCTGCTTTAGCCGGGGGTCAGTGGCTCACGTCTGTCATCCTAGCTACTCAGGAGGCAGAGGTCTGAGTATCATGGTTCAAAGCCAGCCCAGACAGGAAGAGTCCGTGAGACTCTTATCTCCAATAAACCACTGAGAAAATGGGAAGTGGCGCTGTGGCTCAAGTGTTAGAGTGTTTGCCTTGAGCTGAAGAGCTGAGGGACAATGCCCAGGCCCAGAGTTCAAGCCCCATGACTGACAAAAGGAATTGTCTGCTTTATTCTGACAGAATCTGAGGACAGGACAAGGATCACATTTAATGGCTTGAGCTCCTTATGCTTTATTACATAGATTTCATGATTTAACCAATTTTAACAAAGTTCCTCACAATGGAACCTTGGAAAGCATGTGTTAGATTAATGTTAAGATGATTCAGCTGTCATTTTGAGTTTTGTTTTCGGGACTAAATAGCGTTAGAATCAATTAGAAATGGTGATCTAATGGTTGAATTTCCTATTTGTATTTTATTTTCTGGAATCCTTTCTCATAGCTATTTGTTTAAAAGATTTAAAAATCATTGCACTTTGGTCAGAACAAAAAAATACATAGATCATAAATTTAAAAAAAAAGAAAAGAAAGAAAAATGTCTAGTCCACAAGGTGGCAACACTTTGTTAGAGAAGAAAGCCTGCATGGTGTAAAAAACTCAGAGTCTTTGAAAGTGGAGAAATGTAATGCTGGATAGAGTACATGACATACATTATGTATGAGAATGTGGAGATGCAGAGAGCACAAATAATGCCTAAATCTTGGGGCTCCCTAGCTGTTGGTAATAGCCAGCATTATGTTTACTCAAGATAGTTTAATGTTTTACTCACATTTGCCACTTACTTAAATTTGAAATGAAGTTTTTACAAGTGAAGCATATATAGTGACAGTGCAAGGGTTTGAACTCAGGACTCGGGCACTGTCCCTTTGCTTTTTCATTCAAAGCTGGTGCTCTACAATTTGAACCACAGATCCACTCCTGGCTTTTGGTGGTTAATTGGAAATAAGAGTCTCACGGAGTTTCCTGCCCAGGCTGGCTTCAAACTGTGATCCTCAGAGCTCAGTCTCTTGAGTAGCTAGGATTACAGGTGTCAGCTACTAGCTCCAGACTAGAAAAGTATGTTTGACTAATGTTAAGAACAAGGTGGTGATATAGCAAGAAAAAGTTGAATTTTTCTGCAGAATTTTCTTATACATTTAACCACATTATTGAAGTTAACATGCTAATGGAATAGACTTAAAAAACAAAAGTCCAAAGTTAATAGACCATAGCTCAAAAATAAAAATCAAGGTGGATGAGGTGGCTCATGCTTATATTCCTAGCCACTTGAGGACCAGGAGGATCATAGTTTGAGGCTTAGCTCTGGCAAAAAGTTACTGTGACCTGATCTCAACGAATAAAATGCTGGGCATGGTGGCACATACCTATCATTGCAGCTATGTAGGAAGCATAAATAGGAGGAGCATGGTCTAAGACAAGCTCTGGACAAAAGTGAGACCCTACTTAGCAAATAACTAAAGCAAAAATGACTGGGGGTGTTATTTAAGTTGTATATTGCCTGCTTAGCAAGCACAAGGCCCCGAGTTCAAATGTGAGTGCCAACAATAAAAAGCATTAAATGAGGGGCTAGGAATATGACTTAGTGGTAGAGTGCTTGCCTGAGGCCCTGGGTTCGATTTCTCAGCACCACATAAACAGAAAAAGCTGGAAGTGGTGCTGAGGCTCAAGTGGTGTGCTATTCTTGAGCAAGAAGAAGCTAGGGGACAGTGTCCAAGTTCAAGTCTCAGGACTGGCACAAAAAAAAAGCATTAAATGAGACCATGCCTGTAATCCTAGCTACTCAGGCAGCTGAGATCTGAGGATTGCAGTTTGAAGCCAGAAAAGTCCCTGTGAGGCTATTATCTTCAATGAACCACTCAAAAACCAGAAGTGGCGCTGTGGCTCAAGTGGTAGAGCACTGGCCTTGAACACAAAGAAGCTCAAGGACAGCACCCAGGTCCTGAGTTCAAGCCCCATAACCAACAAAAAAATTACAAATCATAAAGAAGAAAGAAAAAAGATATAGATATACAAAAGGAAATGTACACCCAAAATTCAAAATGGTAAGGAATTCTAAAAGTAGTTAGGTGATAGTTAGGATGTGGAAAAAAGACACACTGACTGACCTCCTTTGTACATGCATACAAAAAAATACAAATAAAGCAAATGGTATGTGTACTTTTATTCATTTCACAAATATCTCCTAGGCCTCTCTATATAGTCATAAATACAAATAGAGACCCCCCCTTAATAACTAAGACTTTAATAAATCCTCCCCAAGGAATAAGTTTATCTGTCAAATTCTTTATTTTTCTGTTTGTCAAATTCTTTTAAGGCTTGTTATTCAAATAGTATTTCATAGGGCTAGACCTCTCAAGTGTAACCAGTGATTCCCAATTCCTCACTTTGTCTCATTTGTTTAATGTTTTCCCTTTGGTGTGACTTACATCTATTGAATAGAATATGGTAGAAGAGATGGGATGTCACTTCAGGGATTAGATTCTTTAAAAAAAAAACCTGTGACTTCTTTCTTAGGCACTCTCTCTCTGGCAAAGGCAAGCTGCTGTCTCATGACAGTCTTGTGGCAAGCCCATGTGTTAAGGAACTAAACTTTGTCAACAACCACATGAGTGAATTTGAAAGTAGATCCCTTCGCAGTTGTGCCATGAGATGCCTGCAGCCCTGGCTGATGCTACACAGTCTGGGAGCTGTTCCTTGACCCAGGGAAACGTCAAAGCTCTAAAGGACTGTTCTTTTGAGCCACTGGGCTTGGAGTTGATTTGTTTTCAGCAACAGTAGATAAATATAACTTCAGTCTTCCCCTCACTGGGTGAATGAGGTGCATTAGTGCAAACACAAATTTGAGAGTATCTTTCACCATCCTTCACAAAAGCTGTCTCTGAAGCAAAGGAAGGGCTAGAAAGGAAGGCAGGGGACTAGGCAGAAAACAAAGCAGTTCAGGAAAGGAGAATCAAGAGGAGTAAATGATGAGAAGCAAAAGGAGACATATGCCTGAAGTTCAGTGGCTCATGCCTGTCTCATCCTAGCTGTTCAGGAGTCTGAAATCTGAGGATTGTGGTTCTAAGCCAGCTTGAGAACAAAAGTCCATGAGACTCTTTTTTCCAACTAACCAGTAAAAAGCCAGAAGGGGAAGTGTGGCTCAAGTGCTAAGTGCTAGCCTTGAGGAAAAAAAAAAAGCTTAAGGACAGCACCTAAGCTTTGAGTTCAAGCCCCAACAGTAACATAGACACTCACACAAAAGCATGTTACTTGATTATAGCATCACCTAGAGTCAGGCCTTCAGTTTACTTACCTGGGAAATTAAAGTCTTCAGAGCCAGTAAGCGCCCCTGGGCCGCAGCTTCATGAAGTGGGGAGCGATCAGCCCAGCAGTCTGAAACATAAGCCAAGTGAAGAGTTAAAAGTCTAGAAACGTCTTCCTCTAGCTTGTTTGTACTGCCAACCTACTGTAAAGGGGCGAAAGAAGTGTGAGGGAAGGAGAGGAAAAAGCAGGTGCCACGCATCAGGCTTTTTGGCCCACTGCTTTGAGAGGTGGCAAGTCGCAAGTAGAAAGTCCATTTGTTTGGTGGAGTGGAAGAAGATTGGTATAGTCTCTCACTGGCTTTTGGATGTCACTTTTAACAAGCAATAGATTGAATTAAAAGTAATGTCCAGCTCTTGACTCCCATAGCTCTAAAGAAGGTAAAGTGAGGAACGAAGGAGATCAATGAACTTCTATTCTCATCCTTCCCCTGCCTCTCACCCTCATCCATACCTTAAAGATCCAACCCCCTCCAGAAAACAAAACTGTTCAGAAATCAGGGGAAATCATTTATCTTCCTTCTTCTGTTTCATGTGATAACACAGTATATATTCTCATGCCTAATATTGATTTTCAGAGGATATAATCCTCTAAAAGTTATTTGTTAAACAGCTTTGATGTAAGCAGTTTAGTGTTATGGCTGAGACTGGGTCTCATGGAGTCAGACTGCCTGGGTTCAAGTCCTACCTTGATCACTGTCTCTGACAAAGTCGAGTAAGAGGATATATGCTGTCCAATAAAATAGGAAGTTCTAAGTCCTCACTGATATATGTGTGTGTGTGTGTGTGTGTGTGTGTGTGTGTGTGTGTAATACAGAAAAATGGAGAAGAGAAACTGCTTCCTCATGATATACTTCCAACTTAGAAATGAAGAAGACACTCTAGAATCAGCCTCCCATTATCACTCCCTCACACACAACATCATTACTGATTATAAAATCCAGTGGAGCAAAATTGTAGAAATTATGTCTATGTGATTCAGTTAGCAAACACAGAGATGGAACAAAGTAGCCCTGCGCACCAGGTGGTGGAATGCAACAAGCCGCATTATGTGCCATCCCAGGGAACATGATGTGCAGAACGCGCCATCTTTCTGAGATATTCCTGCCCCCCCACCCCCAAGCATAACCTGATTCTTATCAGGACACAGTACACCAGCTCAAACTGAGGGGGCATTCTACAAAATAATTGATCTATAACTAGTTTTAAGAAAGTACTCAAGAATTATTCCAAATTGAAGGGGAACAAGACACAACATCTCAACACTTGACCTTGAATGGGTTCCAAAGACATGTGGAAAGAATTGACTATATACAAATAGAAACTGTGGGAAATGAGAAGTGAGCATTTTTGTAAGGCTCTTGTAATTTTTATGTCAATTGAAATCAGCTCCAAAATTTTAATATGTTTTCTTTAAAAAAAAAAAAAACAGACAGATAGAACTTCGTGATTCCTTCTTGTAACGAATATGTAATGCTCTCATTATTATTTGTGTCAGTAGTGGGGCTTGAACTTAGAGCCTGAGTACATTCCTTTAGATTGTTCACTCAAGGATAGCACTCTATCTCTTGAGCCACACCTCCACTTCTGGCTGTTTGCTGCTTGGGTGGAGGTAAGAGTCTCACCAACTTTTCTGCCCAGGCTGCTTTCGATCTCCGCCTCCTGTGTAGATAGATTTACAGGTGTGAGCCACCTATACCAGGCTGTAATGCTTGTATAACAAAGAAAACATACAAATTTTAATACAGTGTACATTGTCTCTCCATTGTTTCTGAGTTGGTTAAAAGTTGATTAGCAGAATATTTTAAAACTTCTTAGGGTGGGCTGGGAATGTGACTTAGTGGTAGAGTGCTTGCCTAGCATGCGTGAAGCCCTGGGTCCAATTCTTCTGTACACATAAACAGAAAAAGCTGGAAGTAGCACTGTGGCTCAAGCAGTAGAGCATTAGCTTTGATCAAAAGAAGCGCAGAGATAGTGGCTAGGCCCTGAGTTCAAGCTCCAGGACTGGCAAAAAAATTCTTTGGGGGCTGGCATAGTAGTGCATGCCATAACTCTAGCTACTTGGGAAATGAAAATCAGGAGGTTTGAGGCCAATCTCCAGCACCAATTGCAACAAGCCAGACATGATGTTGCATATCTGTGATCTGACATATGTGGGAATCACAGGAGAATCACAGTTGGAAGCTAGTTCTTGGCAAAAATTCAAGCCTCTAGCAGAGAATAACACAAAAATATAAAAAAGCGCTGGGTGTGTGGCTCATGTGGTAGAGCATTTGCATACCAAGTGCAAAGCCCTATTTCAAACCCTAGTACTGCCCTTCCCAAAGCCCCCACTTTAGACGTTCATTTGCATGAGTTGGAAATGAAATAATACAGCAGCTCAGTTTAGTAAAGAAGATAATTTGACCTCTGATTAGTCAACCTCTGATGCTCAAGCAGGCCCTGAAAGTTGGGAAGAGAGTCTTTATCCACTCATGGCTGGCAACTGAACACTGACCAGTGGAAGAGGTAAATTTGCCTATTTTGTTATTCTGCTTTACTGTCAATAGCTAGTTGATTGAAGTTATAAAACGGTACTACAAAGTAAACATGTCTAATATGATCATGGAAACCCAAAATGCTCCAAAGTGAAACATTTTCGGTGTTAACATAAGACCCACAAGTGGAAATTTACATACCGGAAAACTACTTCATGCCCCAATTTAAAATATTGCTTAAAATGGCCTTCAGGCTATGTGTATAAGGCATATATTAATAAGGCACAAGTGAATTTTGTGTTTAGGCTCAGGGTCCACTCACAAAATCTCTCTGCATATATATGTGTATATATATATATGTATAAATATATGTATACCTATGCATATATTCTAAATTCTTGTGTATTTGCTGCACTGAGCCCAGGTGTGCTCCCTTAGCTTTTTTGTTTAGCACACCTTACCACTTAAACCATACCACCACTTGCAGTTGTTCATTTCCTGGTTAATTGGAGATGAATCTCCTGGATTTTCCTACCAGGGATGGGTTTGAACTATGAGCCTCAGATCTCAGCCTGTTGAGTAGCTTGGATTTACAGGCCTGAGCCACAGGCACCTGGGTTAAGATGCCAAAACTTATTTTGAAAATGTTGATATGAGAAACCCTTTTGGAGTCAAGCATTTCATATAATGGCCATCAACCCGCACAAGTACTCTACTAAAACATAAAGGCAAGACTTAAGTGGCAAGTGGCTTTCTCTCCATGCAGCGGCTTTATTATTACTAAATTTTACGTCTATGCAGGGTGTTGATGATTATTTCTCCGAGTGGGAAGCCACAGCCTTACCCACATTCTCATCGTATCTCAAATTCCCTTTATTTCAGTCTCCTTCCTATCTTTCTGCAACTCACCAGCCCCAACCAAGACCCACTTCATCTATACAACACGGATAAACCTCACAGGTCCAATGCCAGACGAATTCAAGAAGATAGACACAGAAGAGCATTTTCTGTGCAATTCCATTATGCACAGAAGAAACAATTCTAGAGAGAAGGAGGCAAACTCACCCTGGGCATTAGGAGTCAAAAGCAACTGCAGCAGTGGTGGGGCCTGACTGGAATTGGGTACCGTCGGAGTCATCCTGACAACAGTGGAAGTCTCTTGCTCTTGAATGCTGGTCTTCTAACGTGTTCACGTTCTGAATGTTCACCCAGCTGTCCGCTCAGCTTTTGTACCTTTCTTAATTTACGTCATACTTTCATAAAAAAATTAAAAAATGACTCACCACCACCCCCAAGTTAGAAAAAAAATGTCATTGTTCATCCCCTTCACCGATCGTGTGCACTCCCCACTCCCCATTCCCAGGGTAGGATGAGACTCTCTCTGGCCCAAGAACAGAATGTTCTTCACACGCCTTCTGCCTCCTCGTCCTAGGTGCCAGCTCCCCTGGTGCTCTGTGCTTTGGGAAGAAACAAGAAGAACAGGGACAATCTCTCCCAGATAACAGCAAGGGGAAGATATTCCTAATCGCTGACCCTCAACTACAGGTTTCATTTGAGGCCTGTGAGTTCTTCATGCCCAGGTTAACGCCTTGACACTACTGTCACCTGACCTAGGGTCTTCCATCGACGCCGAATCCTCTGATGCCCTGAATCCTCATCACATGCTTCTGAGGTCATCGTGGTAAGCCTGAGGTGCCATCTTCCATTGCATCAAGAAAGAGGGAAGCCAGGCACCAGTGGCTCACACCTGTAATCCTAGCTACTCAGAAGGCTGAGATCTGAGGTTTGTGGTTCGAAGCCAGCCTGGGCAGGAAAGTCTGTGAGACTCTTGCCAATAAACCACCAGAAACTCTGAAGTATAGCTCTGATTCAAAGTGGTAGAGCACTAGCCTTAAGCAAAAGAGCTCATGGATAGCACCAGGGCCTGAATTCAAGCCCTATGACTGACAAGAAAAGAAAGAAAGAGAGAGAGAGAGAGAGAGAGAGAGAAAGGAAGAAAGAAAGAGAGAGAGAGAGAGAAAGGGAAAGAGAAAGAGAAAGGGAAAGAGAGAGAGAAAGGAAGAGAGAAAGAAAAAGGAAGAGAGAAAGAAAAAGGGAGAAAGAAGAGAGAAGGAAAGAAAGAAAGAAAAAGAGAGAGGAAGGAAGGAAAGAAGGAAGAGAGAAAGAAAGAAAGAAAGAAAGAAAGAAAGAAAGAAAGAAAGAAAGAAAGAAAGAAAGAAAGAAAGAAAGAAAGAAAGAAAGAAAGAAAGAAAGAGAAAGAAAGAAAAGAAAGACCTACTAACAGGGAAGGGTGGCTGTCATGAACTGTTTCCTGACTACGTCTCTGCTTTCCAACTCTCTTTCCCCATGGTTGAGTAGTATTATAGGCCAAGTCAGCAAGTCATCTGCCTAAACAGATCTCTTAACTCAAGAGTTGAAATAGCCAGTCACCGGTGGCTCACACCTGTAATCTTAGCTGTTCAGGAGGCTGAGATCTGAGGATCATGGTTCAAAGTCAGCCTGTACTGATAAATCCAAGAGACTCACGTTTTCTATTAACCAGCAAAAAGCCAGAAGAGGAATTGTAGCCCAAGTGGCACCCTGAGTTCAAACCCCA